GCCAAATATATAATTTTTTAATATTTAATTAAAATTATCTGGATGACTCACAAACCTTTTTAATGATACTTCATAATTCTTCATACGAAATACAAATGATACCATACCGAATCTTTGTTTAATTCCCGGTCATTATTTCCGGCTAAATACATGGTCCAAAAAAGAACAATTAATTACAAGTAATAAAATGACTCACAAATCTTTTCAATTACACGTCAAAACTCTTCATACGAAATACAAATGATACCATACCGAATCTTTGTTTAATTCCCGGTCATTATTTCCGGCTAAATACATGGTCCAAAAAAGAACAATTAATTACAAGTAATAAAATGACTCACAAATCTTTTCAATTACACGTCAAAACTCTTCATACGAAATACAAATGATACCATACCGAATCTTTGTTTAATTCCCGGTCATTATTTCCGGCTAAATACATGGTCCAAAAAAGAACAATTAATTACAAGTAATAAAATGACTCACAAATCTTTTCAATTACACGTCAAAACTCTTCATACGAAATACAAACGATTTAAAATAATAGTTTTCCAATCGGAGTTTTTTTCCGGTCAAGTACATACGAATCAATTCGTGTTGCAGCGCCTCTTAGGGCCCTCACACATGAAATAACATAACTGAATGGGCATATCATAAGACTGTATGGACCAATGAGCATCGAGTATTTAGCCGCCATATTGATGCTTGATGCTCAATACTCGATGCTTATTGGTCCATACAGTCTTATGCTATGCACATGCAGTTATGTCATTTCATGTGTGAGGGCCCTTACGCAGCCATTTTGACACATTCGTTGCAAGGTATACAATTCTTATGCTATTTTTTTTCATTAATGTATATTTTTGGTATTTATAATGTATTCAGTTTTAAATTTAATATTATGCAATATTCACTATATCCAGTTAGAAATAATATAAGAAAAATATTAATGAGAAAGTTTTTTTTAAAGAAAGTTAAGAAATTACAAAAATATGTGGTCTTGGATGAGTAAAAATCAGCCACATATAAAATCGTATTATAAGATAAATTGAAAGAAATAGACTTATATTATTTATATAAATATAAATTAAAATAAGAAACCCACATATATTGTTATAAATATAGGAAATTTGAAGAGACAAAATAGAACCATTTATATTCAGATCTTAAGTACAGAAAATGTTTAATGTAATTCAGTAGGAATAAATTATTAATATAAATTTTTATTATATTGAATGTATCATATTTTAATTATTAGTTTACACGTTATTTTCAGTCCTTAAATTCCTGCAAAAGGTATCCCTATACACTTCAAGATGGGTAGGGAGGACAAAGCAACATGGAAATCAAATTATTTTACCAAGCTTGTAGTAAGTATTTTTCTTCTTACATTTATATATTATATTATTTGCAATGTTCATTAAGATGATTCTTTAATATCAGCAACTATTGGATGATTATCCAAAATGTTTTATTGTGGGAGCAGACAATGTTGGGTCCAAACAAATGCAACAAATACGCATGTCGTTGCGTGGAAATGCAGTAGTTTTAATGGGCAAGAACACCATGATGAGAAAAGCTATTCGTGGTCATGTTGAACGTAATGCTGCATTAGAAAAACTACTACCTCATATCCGTGGTAATGTTGGATTTGTTTTTACCCGGGGAGATCTGATCGAGGTAAGAGACAAATTACTAGAGAATAAAGTACGTGCACCTGCTAGAGCTGGTGCCATAGCACCCTTGAGTGTGATTATTCCAGCTCAGAATACAGGACTTGGTCCTGAGAAAACATCGTTTTTCCAAGCTCTGAGTATACCAACAAAGATTTCCAAGGGTACTATTGAAATTATTGTAAGTATTTGTTGAGAGATCCATAAATTTATGTTCCTCTGAGATTGTCTCTTACATAAAAATGTAATATAAAATTTCAGAATGATGTACATATCCTCAAACCTGGTGATAAAGTGGGAGCTTCTGAAGCTACACTTCTGAATATGCTAAATATCTCTCCTTTCTCATATGGTTTACTTGTTGAACAAGTATATGATTCTGGCACTATTTTTGCTCCTGAGATCTTGGATATTAAACCTGAGGATCTCTGTGAGAAATTCCTGGCTGGAGTTGCAAATGTAGCTTCAATTTGTTTGGCAATTGGTTATCCCACAGTTGCTAGTGCACCACACAGCATTGTTAATGGTTTTAAGAATCTGTTGGCCATTGCTGCTGTTACTGCTGTTGAGTTTACAGAGGCTGCTACTATCAAGGAGTATATCAAGGTATGATTTTACATAAACACATACATATATTTTTTTCAGAAGAAATGATTCTTTCTCTTTCTCTCTCTCTATAACTTTGTCTTGATTTTTAAAATTATGAACATTTAAAAATGAGAGAAATCTTTGAGCTAGACTGTTACCAAAAAATATAGCTTGATATATATGTATATATATATATTTATTTATTTATTTATTTATTAATATATACAGTATATACATTAAATTTTAAATGTTTACACGAATATTATATATTGAAAGATTTATATATACAGGATGATTTAACCCTTTGGGGACGGAGCCGCTCGACGGGCTATAAGATAAGACGGGCTATAAGGAAGATAAGACTTCATCGCTAATGGCCCCTAATGTCTTTGAATGAAAACGTGACTCTTTTACTATACCTATGCGTATCTTATCGCTCAGAACGACAGACGTCGCGAGCCTTGCAGCTACGAACTAATTTGGGCGGCTATATGCCGACACGCGTCCGGAACGGTAAAACGGCTTGGGCGGCTATATGCCGACACTCGTCCCCAAAGGGTTAAAAAGCAAGTCAAATTTCTACACTTTTGAACCAAGAGAAAAATAAATATAGATTTACAAGACCTTTGTTTTTGAGATATTCAATACTTAGTGTAAAAATAAGAAATGCAAAAGTAAAGAAATTAATATAATATCTTATAATAGATCTAAAGTAATTGCTGAACAATTTTTTAATTAAAGTTAAAGATTATTTTTAACATCTGTTATATATATAAATTAATAATTTACATAATATGTAATAATTAATAATTTAACTAATTTAACAATTAATAATTTAACATTATCCGTTAAATATCTCAAGTTTTTGTGGGCCTATGTTAAGACATTTATTCTTAATTTAGATGTGAGAGAATATATCAAAATTTATATATACTATAGCCACTATGAGCCTTATAACTGAAAACTGTAGAGACTGATTTGTTTTTGTATAAAGCACATATATTTCACATGTATTTCATGAAGACATTACATGTCTGAAGATATTGATCTATGTGTTATGGGCCTTCTACAATAAGCTATTAGTCATTATTTTCAAAAATAATTGATTGTGATTAGTTAATTTACTTGCGACTTATAACTAATGGTATATTGTAGAAAGCTCCTTAGAACTAGAAATAATAGAACCTACTAACACGTCAAGATTTTGATTGAAATATTGCATGATAACGCTATCTGAACTAGATATGATAAAATTATTAGCTGATTAAAGAGCTATGTCAACAGAATAATGAAACTATTGTTTGGTCACAGGATCCGAGTAAGTTTACTACCGCCGCCGTAGCAGCTCCATCAACAGTAACTACCGATGCTCCTGTCGCGGAGAAGGAAGAGAAGAAAGAAGAATCCGAAGAATCTGACGATGATATGGGATTCGGATTATTTGATTAAAAAGCTCTGAAAGTACATATTACTTGTCTCTGACATTGAAATAAAATTCTATTTAAATTATTTCTCGTATTTAAACGATTTCAACGTTTGCTACGTTTCAAACTCTCAACTCTCAACGCTAGAGAACATATTTATGATTGTCGTAACGTTATTGTATAAGAAGCAATATTTACTGTTGCATAATATTGAATCATAAAAGTGCAAGTTATATAATGTTGAATTGTGGAAGGTTCCGAATAAGTTAGGAACATAACAAGTATCTCAATTATAGACAGACAAAAGATGCGGGGAGAATATTATATATTTGTTCTCTTTCTATGAGAAAAATACACGTGCGGAATCTTATAAGTGGACGTAAAGGAGATGTGTCGTTTCGATAAATGCCTTTCAGCGTGTCAGAATGAATAATTTGTTTATCTCGAGTAGCCCACAAGATAAAAAGGCAGAGAGGCATTTAATATTCCGGTATTCGAAGATGTAATAACGCTCATCATCATTAGCACGATTACGTGAAGTGACGCCACCAAACGGCTCAGGAGAAGGGAGGAAAATGGGGCGGGGCGCTACGGTACCGCTTCGTCCTGTTGGTCTCTCTAGTCACAGAAAGTTGGAGGTGGCGGTTGGTGAGTGGTGACTCTGTGCTCGGCGTAACTCGGCACGAGTCGGACCGGATCGGTTTTCCGCGAAATTTCTTTCAGTGTGTTAAATTTTCAAAGGCGCATCAGGAACCTTGTCATACGTGTCGTAGCCGAGGATGGGTCTGCTCTCCGAAGGAAGTCCCTTGAGTTGGGAAGAGACGAAGAAGCTGTCCGATCACGTGCGCAAACATGGAGTTATACAATTTATTAACCTGTATAAGAGACTCAGAGATCGACAAGGTGACGTTCTCAAGTGGGGCGACGAGGTACGTTACAAATTGTTTTGCTGGTCTTACTGTCACAGTGTACTTTATCGGAGTCGAGTTAATTTGCACTATCATTCCCTCGAGACATTGTATACAATCGCGCTAACTCATGTCCCATAACCTTTACCGTTCGATTCGTCGGTGATGTATTTTCTACGTCTGTGTATAGTCTGCTATAGTTATTTAAATATTTATCACTGTCACCGGGAAGCAAATTGCACGCGGCGTAGGCTATATAAGAAACGGTTTACAAGGTTTTCTTCGAACGTGTCATGTCGCGTCATATGTTATGCATATATTATGCTGATTCTCTTGTATGATAATTGTACGTCCTGTTATTATCGCCAGTGATTGATGACTTATCCGCTTGTCATATCTCATCCGCAATCGTATCTTATCTCCAAACTATTAATTATACTTTGAACTTCCTGCCAATTGAATAATCGAGATTCCATTAATTAAATTAATTTTGGAAATACTTTGCATTATTATGCTGAACATTTTTCTTGCTATATATCTCAACATATTTTGTTTTTTATTCATGCATAAAGTTTGTACAGATGTAATGTTGCAATTGATTAAAATAAACAAACATGTAATTCAACCTGGATATCTCTCTCATGAACAGAATCTTGTTTAATCAGCTTATTGTATTATTTTTGTCATTACGATATTCATGTATTTAGTAAGTATATTACAAACTCTAATATAATGTGATTGTTTTTGTATAGGTGGAATACATGCTCATAAAATTTGACGATGAAGCAAAAACTGCGAAACTCAGTTTGAGAGGTGCGGAAATATTAAAAGTCTTAAATGAGAAAGAGAATGAAAATCCAGAGTAAGTTATATATATTATTCTAATACTTCCATAATATCATTGAGAGTATGTAAAATATAAGTTATTAAATATAACTCTTCTAATATTGTGATAGAAATTCTAGATATTTCATTAAGATACTAAATAAAGATATATAAAATATTTGTTCTCTAGTCAAGTTTGAATAACTGTAACGTTAAACTCGTGACTCATTTCATGAACATTCATATATGTGTATTGGTAAAAATATTAATTATATAAATGATATACTTTTTTTTTGAAAAATTTATAACTGAAAAGATCTGATTATTTACAGTAATGTAAAGTCACTATGGAGACCAGAGTATGGCGCGTACATGCTTGAAGGAACTCCAGGAAAACCATATGGAGGACTCTTAGCTCATTTCAATGTTGTTGAGGCTAATATGCGCTATCGAAGGCAAGAAGCGACGAAATTACTTCAATCAAATGAAGTTCTGATGTCACTGACAGTTTTCCCAAGGTAACTATAAAAAGGAAGATGTTAATAATGCGCCGAGATATCTTGGCATTTTGTAAATTTCAATATTTACATTATTTACATTACAGGGTAGGAGCTCCAGATTTTACTGATCCTCCTAGTCATCCGACACCCAGTGCTGGTGCTTCCAGGAGCTTGTTCTTTCCTGACGAAGCTATATTTCCCGGTCATCCACGTTTCAAAACGTTGACCAGAAATATAAGAGAACGTCGTCGCGAGAAAGTGGCCATAAACATTCCTAGTATGTGACAATATCTTGATCAATCTCTTGCAGAAACTCTTGCACTAATTTCATCTAAATTGAATTGACCAAATTCCGCTTATATTTTATAATAAAAATAGGTTTCTCTAGTTTACAGAGATGAAAATGTACCGTTATTATTCAAAGAAGACCTCATCAGCAAAGGAGATGATGGATCGTCCTCTAAAGCGGCCGAAGATAATCACATTTACATGGATGCAATGGGTTTCGGGATGGGATGCTGTTGTTTGCAACTCACTTTTCAGGCGTGTAATATAGAAGAAGCCAGAACATTGTACGATCAGTTGACACCTTTATGCCCAATCATGGTTAGTGTTAATTGCTCGCCGATGTTCACTATAATTCCTTCCTTTCTCCTTTTTCCTTTCTTCTTCCCTTCAAATAACAGCAACATACTGTCAGAATATTCTTTCATACGTACGTTACAGAACGTTTGTTTAACATTCGACAGTTGGCTCTAACCGCGGCCAGTCCGTTTTATCGAGGTTACATAAGCGACGTTGACTGTCGATGGAACATCATATCTTCTTCAGTGGATTGCAGAACGCGGGAAGAGCGTGGGTTGATACCTCTGAAAGAGAATAAATTTAGAATCAGTAAGTCCAGGTATGACTCTATTGATTCGTATCTCAGTGAACAAGGAGAAAAATATAACGACGTCCCTTTAACATATGATAACGAGATATACAAGCAACTTTTGGACAACGGGATCGATAAGTTGCTTGCGCAACATATAGCTCATTTGTTCATCAGAGATAGCGTCTCCTTGTTCTCCGAGAAAGTACATCAGAACGACCTAGAAGATACGGATCATTTCGAGGTGAGGTCGCAATTGTAACTTTTTTTGTTGCGGTTATCAACGTGCGTCAACTATAATTGTAATTGCTGTAATATTGTTTTAGAATATACAGTCTACTAATTGGCAAACTATGCGCTTCAAACCGCCACCGCCAAACTCGTCGATCGGCTGGCGCGTAGAGTTCCGTCCATGTGAAGTGCAGATCACGGACTTCGAGAACGCCGCGATAGTTTGCTTCACGGTGCTATTGACGAGAGTTATCCTGAGCTACAAGCTGAATCTTCTAATCCCTATCAGTAAAGTTGACCAAAATATGGCTAGGGCGCAGAAAAGGGATGCGGTTAAAGTGGAGAAGTTCTGGTTCCGTCGTGATATCACTTCGGACGCTAAAAAACCCGATGACGTTCAAACGGAGTACACTGAATTTACAATCAACGAGATCATTAACGGAAAGGTATTAAATATGTTATTTTTAAAAGTTACATTTTTTAAATATAATTTTTATTTTTTTTATGAATAATACATTTTAACTGTATTTGTTTGTTCTTTTTAGGATGGTGGTTTTCCTGGCCTTGTACCGCTAGTAAATTCTTATCTCGCCAATATGGACGTGGACGCTGATACGCATTGCACTATTCAAAGATACATCAAATTAATACAAAAACGAGCCTCCGGGGAGGTTTTAACGACTGCCGCTTGGCTTAGGAAAGAGGTTATTTCACATCCCGAATACAAGTAAGCGGACATATCTCTGTCTCGAAATTGTCAGTATTATTGTCTTCAAACAGAACATATTCTAATAAGAAAAATCACATGTGATAACGCAGGCACGATGCTGTAATAACACAGCGCATCAATTATGATCTGCTGAAAAAGATCCAAGATATCGTTTCCAACGAGGTGGAGTGTCCAGAGTTACTCGGACAATGTGTATCATCTAAAACCACCGAGACCATACCCGCTGCTGTTGCGAAAGCAGAAAACTGTTCAACAACAAATTGTTAACGACGACTCTAAGCATTTCAGGTAAATCGGAGAATATCCGTTTTGTAACATTATTATGCATACTTAATAGCATTAACTTACGTGATTAGATAAGTATATTTCTGTGTTGTTTACTGTTTTTTATCCGTGTAATACGAAAGAAACGAGAATAGTGCAAGAGAAAACTATATTTGTAATTTTATATTCCATTTGTTATACGTGTTATATTGCTTTTATCTACCAAATATGTGAATGTATGTGAAAAAAGAAAAAAATTCCGTGATTTTCGAGTTTTATGAGGAAAAATGGCATTGTAAATATATATGTATAAGTTTAGTAAATATCGCTGTATATAATGATAAAACAACTAAATCACATTTCATGGAACTCAATATGCGATTTGTTTCAAAATTATTCGGATTGAAAGATATGTTTACATATATATAAAAAATTAAATAATCAAGCGGTAACAAATTTATTAGTGTGTATAAACAATCTGTATGATTCAAAAGTTTATTTTTTCACAGTTACGTGTTTAATAACTAATCCAGTGCTTGTTTAATGAACAATCTTAATTTTAAGAACGCTCGTATATTTATTGCAATATCACACAATTAAAACTTTGCAATATGGGAACATCAACCAATTTTAAGGAGTTTATTCATTTAAAATAAAATATTTAAAATTACACAAAAATTTAACGTAATATTTATTGTAGTAAAACACACATTCCTACTTAGTTTTATGCACCGTTCAAAAATTTAGTACTGAATATCGCAATTTTGCATATATAACTTTATGATAGAAGCAATATAGATGACCATTATTTCAGTATAATTTTGTAAAAAGTAATATTCAAATAAAAGCGGTTTAGAGCAGTCGCCCGGTAAGCGAAAGATCCGGGTTCGAGTCCCGGCCTAGCAAACCGCGCTTTCGATATTTTTCTCTCTCTGGAACGAGAAAGAAACGCAGATCCCGAATGCACGACGTCCCGCCGCTATCTAATACGCCTTCCTCCTTCTATGGAAAGCTTTCTGTTATAAATAGCATTATATTGAATTAAACATGGCAAGATAATATCAAAATTAATTTCAAATTAACATTTATTATTTAGATATTAAAATAAATATATAGGAATATAATTTTATTCGGTAAATAGTGAATTTATAAGTAATTCCCTTGATGCACCACTGAAAATTCGCCCATTGGGCGTCCTGAAAATACATATCTGGCGAATAATCTCCTTAAGCTTATGCTATGTATCCTTTCTTTTTCTGTCGCAAATATTTGCCATGTCAACAGTATGATACTTAACTAATAACTAATAATCAATTTATACAGCAGTAGTTACTAAATTTCTAAATTGCATATATATTTTCAATACTACTTCTTTTTCTGTGAAAGAAACAATAATAGTGCAAGAAAGAACTATATTTGTAATTTTATATTCTATTTGTTATACATATTGCATTGCTTTTTACCAAATGTAAATGTATGTGATAAGAGGGAAAAATATATACAATGAGATATGCCAACGAAATTACATTCCACAGAATTAAATTTATGTGCAAATCGTTTAAAAAATATACGAATTGATAAATCATTGCGAATATATTGAAAAAATAATTAATCGAACAAATTATAATAAATTTATTTATTAGTATATTGATGACGCGGCGTATATAGGTAGTTAAAACTAACAGAAGTTTCAATGTTATTTGCTTTATTAAGATCAAAGTTCAATAATCTTTGTACCAATTTTTACTTACCCTTTTATCAATCTTATCTAATGGTTGACAATATTTATGCGAGTTAGTTTTGATCACGATGTTATAAGCAATTCTTGCAATTCTCGCGTCCGAATAAATAATTTCCCTTCAACTTTTTTTATTCAGTTAAAATGTTCTTAAAATGTATCAAAATTGTTGAAAAACTAGAATTTAGTTCTCATTTTTTAAATTTTATATTAAAAATCTGCGCCAAAAATTGTGTGAGCACGTTGACAAAAAGATCATTTAGACGGCCGTTTGCAGGAATTGCATTCACATGAATTTTTATTTAATAATCAAACATAGGCAACTCGTCCGAGATGTATGTATATTATCTTTATTAGTTATCTTCCAGTATGTTTTCGTATATACAATATTTCACAGTATATACAATATGTACACAGTATTTCCAGATCATGTTAGATGGTACTATAATTTTACAATAATTTTTTGTTCAACATACATCAATTTAATATGTTTGAATTATAAGGATTTAGGAATTATATGCAGAATATTTAGGTGCTAAATCTTTAGATAATCCATGTGACAAGTGTGATCAAAAAGAAAAATATAATATGTACATGTATATATATACTTATATATGTATGTGTGTGTGTGTGTGTGTGTGCATATATATATATATATATATATATATATATATGTATGTATATATAAAATATAGATATGTACTTAAGATTAAAAATAACTGTACAAAAATATGACATATATTTCTAACATGCTAGCCTTTGGAGAATATAAATTATACAAAATAAATTGTAAAATAAAAAAGATATATAAACCATAATAAGAGAGGTAGCAGAATGTCTATGGAAGAAAGCTTGATATTTTGATACAATCATTTCCTAAAATCTTGAACTTTCCTCCTGGGAAAAGGAATACATTGTATATACATATATCCTTATAATACTTCTCACAAATAGGAAAGAAATGACTTTAAATTGAATTGTTATTATTTAAATAAAGCAATAATTACGTACCTCCTATTATTTTGTCATACTTTTGTCCTTCTTTTTTATTAAAAATTGTGTTTAAAATATACAGTAATAAAAAGTGATATTGAATATAAGTATTCAATCTATACAGAATTATATAGCTTTAATATGAAAAATAAATGCTTTTATGCTTTTAATAAATGCTATTTTATTTGTTATTAATTAAATTATTAAATAAAGAATGGTTATTAAAAAATAAAGTGGCTTTACTAGAAAAAACCTTTATTTTTTATATATTTTATGAAATATACAAAATTTTTAATAAATAAGATATTAAATTATTATATAATATTATATGTGTGTATGAGATGTTTAATTTCCGTGAATTCCTTTGCTTCTCACATATAATTTTAATAATTTTATGTTTCAATATCCAGATAGCCAAACCTGCACAAGCAGATTTTTTGCAGAGTCTGTCAACAGTGTCTGTTGACAGAGTGGCAACAGATTGCACACAGAAACCATTTTATCAGTCTCTGACAACAGATTGGTGACAGACTGCGCACAGAGCCTGCCGACAGACTTTGACGGCAGATTGGCGGCAGACTGCGCGCAGATTTTGTTTTATAGATAGGCTATTTAATTCTATCAAAGGCCATATGTACGCTATTAAATGGAGTAGTTTTACATGCACTCCATGTAAAACTCTAAGAGGAGTCAAGATAATTATATTGTGCAATAATTGTACATATATGCTCAAAAAATATGCATAAAAAACAATTTTTACTTTTTAAAATTATTATACATTTTTTATAAAACAGCAAAAATAATAGAGAAATAACGTACACGTATAGAATAGTACAACGGTTAAATGGCCAGTTTAAAGGTTTAAATGGCCATTTAAAGGTATACATATGCTATCCCTGGTAAAAATTGTTCTTATAATTTTTTATACAATTTCTCATATTATTATTTTTTTAATGTCTTTATGTCATTAAATCTGAACGATTTAACCGTCATGTAATAAGCACTAAAGGCAGCAGTACCAAATAAAATATTATTTCCGCCATGTAAATAACTTTTACAGAATTTTTGTGATAGTTTATTTATTTGAAAATATATCATGTTTCGATTTTGATAAAATTTAATACAATCTGAACTGGACAATCGACCAAATTAATTCGCACATGTAAAAGCACAGTATTTTATTAGCATGATGGAAAAATGTCATTATTTGCTGTTTTATTGCAGTAATTTTCTATACAGTCCCTGGTAGAAAATTAATTTTGAATTATTGTGCCGGTGTCTCTTACATTATTTATACGCTAAACGGTTTCGTCTATATTTTGTGATTTAAAAGGCGAACAAACTCTAAGATTTTTCTTCCTTAAACTTTAAGTGGGCAATACAAAGCACTTTTTATCAAGTGAGGAATTGGCGTGATGTCTAAGGCGACGGATGATTATCCAAAAGATGTCTTCAGTTCAAGTTCGAATCTCACCAGAGAAAATCTTAAAAATTATAAAAAAATAATATAGAAAAACTTTTTTGTATTGTATTTTACGAATATTTATGAGTATTTATGAGATAGCGCTCATTCTATGAGTAATTATGAAAAATTATGAGAAAATTTTCTACCAAAGATTTAATTGAAGAACCTACGAAACGATGAGATCCGCGCGCAATCTGCTGTCAGAGTTTGACGGCAGGCTCTGTGCGCAATCTGATGTCAAAGTCTGTTAGCAGACCCTGTCAGCAGTCTGATGGCAAATTGAAGACGCAGATGTCTATAGATCTGTTGACAGATCCTGCTCGAATTCGACAGATTTTGTCGCCAATCTGATGTCAGTCTGCGCACAGATTGCTTACTGAACACATAAATGTACATGATTATTGTTTTTAATCTAGGAAAATTTAATCAGCATGCATATCCTATGCAGAATATGAAAAATGCTTGATTTTGAACCATTTTTGCTCATTATAACAAAAACTTGTGCTATATTAAAGATCATATTTGGTTTTAATATGTCAAAATAAATAAAAAATAGTAGTTTTTCTTTCTAGTAAAAGGACTTTTTATTTTGTTGTGGTCCTATATTATTAGTAAGGTATTTTGTCCAATTTTATACATATTTTATATTCATATTAATAAAAAATTTTTCAATTAATTATATTTATCTAAATTCATTATGTTTATCTAAACTTGTTCTGTATGAAATATAGCTATTCCACAGCAGAGCAACTGATTGTACAACTAGAGCTTGGTAGTTCAAAGGCACTAAGGAAAAATTCACAAGTTGTACCATAGGCCATAGCTAAAATAACAATAATGCACTAATAGATCATCATAAAGCTAATGACACAAGATTGTATCTTTAATATATGTAAAGTTTTATATATATTACCTTATAATTATTTATTAAAATATCGCTATATTCATTTGCTAATTTGATCTTGAGCTTCTCAATATCTTTTCCTTGACAAACACCAATAGCAACTAATAAAACTGCTATAAATGTTGGTGCAAAAAGCAACTGATCACAAGCAACCTTTTTTATTCCAACTGTGTAACCTTTAGAACCTATATATGTATCTAAAATTCCATACCATGTTCTTGTTGCTGGGCCCTATGTATTTTATTTATATACATAAAATGCTCTTAAATATTATATTTTATTTTATAATGCTGAATATTATATTAATAATATAAATATTTTTATTAAAGTTCAGATATCAAGTAGACTTATTAAAAATATTTTTTTAAGAAAATAACTGCAATTCTCAAAAAATACTTTTTTTTTTTATAATTACTTACACTGATGAACAAACCAATTCCAGCAAATTGCATTGTTCGTACATAATCAATAGGTTTTGAACTACTTTCTATAAAATTCTGTGCAATCTGATCTCCAAGTCCCATCAATATTCCTATAAATCAGTGACATTGATGATAATGATAATAATAATAATAATATAAATAAATATATAGTTATATGTAGTAAATTGGTTAATTGTATTACCAGCTTGTACAGCTTGAGTTCCCACAGGATACTTTTTTAGTACTGTTTGGTATATTCTACTTATATTTCGCATGATATTTTACTGAATGGTCTCATGTCATTCGTTAATAGGACTCTGTCCAGATTAAGTTAGGTTATTTATTAAACTAATAACATGTTTGATTGGCTCTGGGTTAACCCCTTTGACTATGGGTGGGACCCGATTGACCACGATACGATTGGACACAGATTGTAATGATTGGTTCGACCTAGTAATTCACTAGATAATTCTTTTCATCGGTTGGTTGTGTCCAATCGTACTGTGGTCAATCTGGACGCTCCCTTTGACTATGGCTGCGTTCCGAAATTCACTGCCAGTGCTGAAATTCTATAGTATACGTGACATAAACTATAGATTTTCAATACTGGCAGTGAATTTCGGAACACAGCCTATATAACCATGGACTGCTAGCGGCGATTCTAATGGCTCCTGCACACAGGACGCGGTAATGCTTGCCGCGCGGCGGAAGTCCGTGCGACAGCCAATCAATATGTTTGGTCTGTTCTTTTCAGCTGCACTGCTGAACTGGTGCAATAAGTTAAAGTGAGACAAGTATATGTTTTCTCACTTTAATTTATTGCACCAGTTCAGCAGTGCAGCTGAAAAGAACAGACCACTAGTTTTTCCGTAAGAGCTAGAAGATTATTACGGAAAGTAGCATATTGATTGGCTGTCGCGCGAACTTCCGCCGCGCGGCAAGCATTACCGCGTCCTGTGTGCAGGAGC